GACTCTAACACAGTTCTATCATTTTTATAACTTGCTACATCAACACTAGTACACTTGCTAGTCAAATTTACTTCTCTTCTGAAGTGTGACATATAGTTTAGTACATAATATGCTAAATTATGTATTTAATGAATATCAAAGACTTTGTTATTTTAAATTTGTTGTTCTTGTAGAGGATGAACCTAGGACTTTTATTATGTTAGAATTGATTTCTTTTGTAGTATTCCTTTTGATTTTCTTATGAGTAGAATACATTAGACTCTATGTATCTATATGTATAGAGGTACAATTAAAACTCCAGTAGCACTCACCTATCTTTTTACCTATCACGACCATTACCACCTCAGAAGACCGTCCAGATGGACATTTGAGCGTGTCACTGGTTTAGAGGTCATCACTAATTCAGGCGATTGGTACTTGGGTTCAAATGATGATATGGATTCGAAGGATTTTGTCGAGATAGAGAGTTGGCATGAGGTTGATGACTAGGAGTGGTCTTTAGTATTTGGTTATAGGGGAGACTGTTTTGGGACTTGAACTTATATATATATATATATATATATATATATGTGTGTGTGTGTGTGTGTGTGTGTGTGTGTGTGTGTGTGTTGTAATCATTTTGGTTATGTAAAATATTATTTTAAGTCCCATATATTTTGACAAACAGTTTGTAAATTTTTATATTGATATATGAATGGATATTCAGGTTTCCCATGAAGAATACTAAATTTTGGCTGTGATGTTTATTTATTCTTTACAGTATTTATTATTGTTGTTTTATTACTATTGCAAAAATTTGAAATCTTCATCTACATATGTCTATTTAAATAGAAAACTCATTATTTTGCTATAATGAAGTCCATTATACACAAAATTCGTATTCTATCTCAAGTTATAAAGAATGAAATATATATTGTACAAATTTTTAATTTTAGGGTGTTACAATAAGTTTCTATAGGTTAAAGACCTATGTTTCAAAACATACATGTGTAAGGGTATTTGACAATAAGAATGCCAATACAAGATGGGTTGCAAAGGTTATTGTGGATAAACTGAGAATAAATAACAAAATGACACTGAATGACATCAAAAGTGAGCTAAGAAATACTTATGTTTTAAATGGACAACTTTTAATGCAAAAAAAATGGCAATGGAAGCAATAGATGGGGAACCAACAAAACAATATACACTGTTGTGGAGTTATAGTGCAAGACTAAGGAAAGTTAACCAGGAAAATTCTTGTAAGATAGAATTGGTTAGACCAGAACCCACTTTACAACCAAAGTATGGTAGCTTTTACATGTGTTTGGATGGGTGTAAAAGATGTTTTCTTTTTGGCTGTAGACCATTCATTAGTGTGGATGGATGTCATTTAAAGACCAAGTATGGTGGGCAACTTCTTGTTATAGTAGCGAGGGATGCAAATGATTAATATTTTCCACTTGCAGTAGATGTGGTAGAAATAGAAATAAAGGAGAGTTGGAGATGGTTTTCGAATTTGCTATTAGATGACATTGGGAACCAATCAACTAATATACATGTCTTCATATTTGACCAACAAAAGGCAAGTTTCATTATTTCCTTTTTTAAATAATATGTTCAATATGTAATAGGGACTAAATCTTAAATTATTTAATAAATGAAGGACTAGATTCTAACACTGTTTTTGTATTTTGTAGGGTTTAGTCCAGGTTTTTAAGGAGCTGCTAATAGATGTAGAAGACAGATACTATGTTAGGCACTTATACAGTAACCTATAAAAGAAGTTTGGAGGGGTGCAATGTTAAAACAGTTAATGATGGGGGCATCTAAAGCAACCTACCTGGAAGTTTGGGAGGAGAAATGAGCCAAATCAAAGATCTACATTTTAAGGCTTACGAGTGGTTGCCTACAAATTCCAAGGAAAGTTAGTCTAAACACTGTTTTAGTCCATACCCTAAGTGTGATGTAATCATGAATAACTTATGTGAGGCTTTCAATAGCGAGATTTTGCAAGTTATAGAAAAACCTATACTAAGTATGTTAGATTGAATTAGGTTGTACTTAATAGGAAGATTTTCTACTCTATGAGAGAAAAGCAATAAATTGCAAAGGGATATCATGCCTAAACTTAAGAAAAAGCTTGATAAAGAAGTTGAACATAGTGCAAATTGGTTTCCTAAATGGGCTGGGGAGCTAAAATTTGAAGTCACACACTTTATTTATACATAAATTTGTTGTTAACCTCCATATACATAGTTGTTCATATATCTTTTGGAGTTCAGTTGGCATTACATGTAAACATGTTTGTGCTGCAATATCCTATAAATGGGATAATCCAGTGGATTATGTTCATCAATATTATAATAAAAAGAAAAAGCATATATGAGATCCTATGAACATGTTATTAGTCCAATTAATAGTCAAAACAAATGGCCATAGGTTGAAGATAATGTCATTTTCCCATGCTCATACAAAAAGGGACCAAACAGGTCCAAAAAGCTTAGGAGAAAGGATCCTATTGAAGAACCAAACCTAGTAAGGCTAAGGAGGTCACATTCCTAAAATAAATGTAGCAAGTCTCTACAGTTTGGACATAATAGGACTTGTTACTATCATGATTTAACTATAATAGTAACAAAAATTTTTTTGTTATTTATATTAATAACTTTGTCATTGGTTAACAACCTACCTGAAATTTTTTTCCTATAAGAACCATCAAACCAAGTAGCTAGAACAGGGATACAAAGAGCCAAAGGAAGAAGGGATAAACCAAGGAGAAGACAAGTTGGTTCAACACAAACTGAACATGGATCACAATCATAAGTCATCACTGCAAGCCAGTTTGAACCTGTGGTTGCTAACCTAATTTATGCTACAATGCCTGATACAACTAGCTTAGTTTAGTTTTAATATGGCCTTTTTATTTTGGATGTACGAATGCCACATTCTGTACAAAAAGTTTGCATGTTATTTTGCATAGTTCAGCATTATTTTGGATGTATTTTATCCCACAGGATGTACAAAACATTATGTCCTTATTTTGGATGTATGTCCCATGACATAATAACTTGCAAGGCTATTATTTTGGATGTACAAATTTGCACATTAGTTTTTGGAAAGTTATTATGTTGGCATATTACAATGGTCTTATTATTTTCTCTTCTACAATGTTATTTATTCCAATATCAATGAAAAAACTTAGTAAAATTGCAAATGGAATCAATCCAAATTTGATAAATAAGCATAACATTACACACCACAATAAACAACCATATCACACTGAAGTTTGGGGTGCTTGAGAACAAAAGGAAGCCTCGAATGGGGGGAAGAGGTGATAGGGGAAACATTTTCTGATCAAAAAGTGCAACAACCTTGTCCAAGAATATGTTAATCATCATGGTCAGAAATGCATGGTAAGAGTCCATAGTGGATTGCAAGGAGTCATGCAATTCTATAAAGCAGACCTAAAGTTGGTCCAATTTTGCATGTAGAGAAGTAACGATGTCATTTGAGAGCGTGTCCGTTTTGGGAGGCATAAGATAGCAATGAAAGCACCAATGATAAGGTCACACTTCAATCAAAAGAAATTTTCTCCAAATTTGAGAGTGGGAAAAGGTTTATCCAAAAAAAGTGAGTTAAGAGAAAAAAAATCAATTGATTGTAAAACAATTCTGATTATTCTACAAAATCACACTTCCCCTAAAAGAACAAGGTAGGTAGTTACATCCTCAAGGATCACTATGCACGTGTCCTTCAGTAAAATAGAAAACAACTTGACAATCAACTTTAACAATGAGAATTATGTCAATCAATTGGACTTAGATGTTTTCCTAACCAGCTTAGTGCATTTTAACACTATCTCTGACTTTTTTCTTCTTTTCCCTTTTCTTAGGCCATATCATATTATTATTTTTTTCCAATATAACTGTTGCGGCAAGATTAATCTCTATAGTTTATTAATCCATGATTGCACATTTTGTATCTAAAATAAGCATAACAACATCAACCAAGATGGAGATCATCCAAACAACGAATCAAGACATTGACCTGGAGATTCAACCAGTAATGACCAACAAATAGAAGACAAGAGCATAAGACATCATAAGGGTTAGTATTCTTGAGAAAGAGTGTGATCCAAAAGTTTTTGCTATCATATTTATATGGGCCATGTTTACACATAAATTGTTTTTGTTTATTTTTAAATTTTTTATATTTTAAATTTAAAATATAATTGCAATGAATAAAAAATAATATGCATAAATATTAATAAAATTAGTAAAAAGTACATAAATATGCGTAATTGTCAAGGCCAATAAAAATCTTTGAACTCAAGTACTAGAATTGGGTTGTACCCTAATAATCCCCATACATTAGAGAATTTCATCGTGCCAAAGTGGATAGTTATTAATATTAAATTATTTTAATAATTTATATAGTGGTCTATCTAACTTATAATATAATTCTAATTAATGATTTAACGTGATGATAGTTAAATATAAAATATAAATTCATTAGAAATATAATTATAAATATAATTATAAGAAAAATTTTCTCTCTTTGTATATAAATAAATGAGCCGTTACCAAGTAAAAGTTATGATATTTTTTATTATTTAGATTCTTACTTTCACTGTTTTTGGAGTCTCACGGTGAAAGAAACTTTCTTTCAATCATCGAAAGAGCTAAAAGAAGAGTTGGAAAAAATATTAAAAACTCAACAACATCAAAGGAAGGCAACATCAAGGAGTAATAGATTCATATTAGTGTTTTCTAAACATTGTATTTCATACTTTAAAGGGTAAGAGGAGAATGGTTCAGTTTTTCCATTGTTAGTTGTGGAAAGGTTCATTTACTCTGGGGCATTGTAAATTCCATTTTTCTGTAATACATTTTCAAGAATATACAGTTTCTTGCTTTTTAGTTTTCTGGTTTATGACATTCATGGAATGGATAAAAGATCAACAGCAGGAATGCAAATCAAGGCTTGGGCAAAGTTGGTACTGAAACATTGAAATTTAGATGGATAAAAAAATCATTCCTTTAGATTATCAAGTAATTGGACATCAATCATACAAATTTAATGAAATATTGGCTTAAAAGAATGACAATCCAACTTTTATATTCCACATGGAGCAACACAGCCAATTAAATTTCATATCAATCTATAACAAGTTTACAACAGTATCTGGCCAGCAAAATCTAGCATATGTCACTTATCACAGTTTCTGTTGATGCTCTTTGCTCTTTGACCTTTATAATCCTTTCTTTCCAAAGCCATGTATCCAAACGTCAGCAAAATCTACCAGTGTTTTACAACCTAAGAAAATCAGCCATCTAAAACAAATGCAGGAAATATGAAATATTAGTTATTAACAGTTAGCATGTACATCCTCACGTTAATGTTCTCTTTGAATCAATCTGGATTGCATTCAAGTCCTCTTCAAAATTCAGAGTATTTGCTGCAGTTAAAAGCATGTCCATTCCTCCAACTTTGTCTGCTTCCCGGGCTTGCTTGTTGCTCCATTTCTTATCAGCACTATCATTTGGCTTTGAATCATTCACACCAGCTTTCCACTTGTTACACTCATGTGCCTTTCTTGCTTTACGTATTGCTTGGATCCCGGCATCACATCTTCTGCACAACCATTTCCCCCTTGGAATAGAATTTCGTGGAGGTTTCATACAGTAGATATGGTATGCATGATCACAGCCATCACAGAGTACAATCTTATCATCATCTTTATCGATGAGGCAAACTTGACATAAACAAGAAGGGCAATACCAACAGCTACCATATGACTTAAGCTGCTTACTTGACAAACACCTTACGTGGTAGTATTGATTGGGGCAGAAAGGGTGACCACAGACTTTTATCTTTTCACCATTCACCTCCATTTTACAAATTTTGCAGTCAGATGAGTTTTTCCCACCTACGGAAACTTCAACCCTATCATATGTACAATTTGAATTCTCTTCCAATTCATGCAGTGTGTCCTCGTTTATAGGGATGCTTTCTTCACCAGAAATGTTGTTAAGGGTCTTTGGGACATTCAACTGTTCACACACCACACAGTTCTCATGTCGAGATCCAATTCCACTAGCAGTACAATTGGCACAGAACCAGCTTTTGTGGGGTATTTCTTTCACAGCAGGCTCAATACAGGACACATGATACATCTCCTCACACGAATCACAAACTAAACAGTTTGTCCAGTCTGCTTTATCTCCACAATGCCTACAAATGCCAATTTTGTATGTAGCACATTCTTCTGTCCGCTCTAGTTTCATGTGAGAGTTGGATTCCTGGTTAGAGTTGTTTGACATGACAACATGAAAACAATTCTCAAAACCAGTTTAATAAATCTCAAGCAAATTTCACGTTAAACAAAGTGCATTTGGTACTAATCGAACAAAATAAAAGACAGCTTTTCTAGTGTAAACAGATCCTGTACATCATTGATAGTTAAAGCTTGTAAAGTCTAGAAAGATACTTAGAAGACATATAAACGTCTTAAAAATCAAATCAGTCCCTCACCGGCCTGCTTACAACAAATTCGTAGATGCCCGAAGAAAAATTAACTACACTTATCATAATAAGAGATAAACTCTGGTCATACAATCACAACCCATTCTTCATTCATTGTTCTCTTAAGAGAAAAACATGCAGTAATAAGAGAAGAAATTTCTGGAGCTCGATATATGCATGATCATGATCAGCACATGAACTATTAGAAGAAAATTGTTTTACTCTTACCACTTGTTTTTCATCTTCAAATGGGCTTGGTGCTGAAATTCCCATCTGACAGTAAGGAAAAGAAATGGCTTACAAAAGACAAGCAAAAACATAACACATGGCAATAAGAGAATAACATTCAGAAGCAAAGAAAAAAGTATGGAACTTAAGCGCTTTGGCAAAGAATTATAAGAATTTTCTTTACCTGCTCACAGAAGGAAGCTTTTGACATTTTGGAGAGGCTCTTAGCTATAGCAACAATCTGATTTCCAGTATTTTGAAGATTTCTCCAAACCTAAATATTAATAAGACTAAATTATATAAAATAAGAATCAGGAATCAAATTCCTCTGTTTTCTGCTCAGAGGCAAGAAATTAACCAGCACACTCTAAGAATTACCCTCAAATGACACTGAAGATTATGAACAGTCTCATTAGGCAATGAAGATTATGGATGGTTCTGATGCAATCAAGTTAATAGGACTTTTCGTAATTTATTTGATTTAGGAAATACTGTATCAGACAACATTTTTAGGATCCTATTTTTTCCTTAATTAGCTAGGTCTATTTCCTCTCATTAATTAGTTCTGCATGGTCTGCATATATCCAATTCTGATGTAACAAATCTGGGAAATGAAATCATTGGTCCTCTCATTAATTAGTTCTGCATGGTCTGATATATCCAATTCTGATGTAACAAATTTGGGAAATGAAATCATGGGTGCATCTCTACACTTTATTGTACTGTACAGTGTATAGATTGTATCATTATACTAGCATCAGTGCAACAGTGCCTGCACGCACGCAACAGAAGGCAAAATGTTCTTCAAAAAAAAAAAAAAAAAAGAAAACTATGTTTTGAATGAAATTAACAATAATGTCATTAGGCAGGAAAGTTTTCGACCAAAAAGAAACAGGTGGAGGGGACTTGGACGGTATCAAAAAGCACTCAAATACAAAATCTTGAATTAGGTTTGTACTATGCTTAACCAGGTCAACTCAACAGTTTATGTAAATAACAAGCATTGTAGTAGACAGTTTCAAAAAGGCTTACATAAGATTTAGGTCTTTGCATTTTTGCAATATTTTCATCTGTCCTAATGCTTTTTTTACCTTTGGATTTAGTTCCTGATTATTTTAAATTCAACAATTTTATTCTCTATTGCTGATGTGGCTAACTAAAAGGTTGCCAGAGGTCAAATATTTGTGCCACGTTAATTTTTTGTTCACTAAATTTAGTGACAGACACCAAAAGTGCAGAATTTAAAAAAAAAAAAAAAAGCTAAAACCAAAACAAAAATTATGAGGAACTAAAATCAAAATCTCACAAAAATATTGAACATATTTAAACCTTTAAAAAAAACTAACTTTCTCAATTTTACACTCTAATTATTTTTAAAAAGGGCAGTCTTTAAAAAAGTGCAAACAACCAAGAAACTCTTTCTCCAGGTTAAATAGGGTTTTTTCATAAAAATAAAAGTTATTTACATGATTATGTCAATATATGAATCAGTTTTTGCTGTGCTATTTCGAATGAAAGAATCTCTTTGAGAAAGATAAGAGCCAATCAAACTTAAACATTGGATGCAAAAAATAATCATGATTCATGATTGTTGATTGATTATTCATATATTAATATATCCAAAATAAGAACCTGATTTTCACCAGAAGAAAAAGAGCAAGCCAAAATAAGGAATTCATAAATAATGGTTATATCATACCATCATCATGATACTCAGGTAAACCACATATTCAGTTATCTAAAGGATTGTTTGGGAGAAGATTTTTGGAGGGGAAGGGAGTAGAGAAAAGGACATATTTTTAATTTTAAATCAAATTAAATTCTATATCATTATTGATAATAAATATATAATTAGTACATTAATTTTATGTTAATCTACCATTTTATATCTTCTATTTTGAAAAATTATTAATTTAAAATATATTTAAAATAGAAATTTGTCCTCCCCTTCCCTCAAAAACCCCCTTCCCAAACAATCCCCAAATGTTTCCAACTTTCTTAAGTAAATTCATATAGGCATGTAAAAATTGTCTGTGGAGAAGCTATTATTATGCATTACCTGTTGAACATCTGATAAGAAAAGTGTAGGTGATTGTTCATAAGCTTGTCCTTTCATCCTTGAGTTTATTGCACTAAAATCAAATACACTTTCGGGTTTCATTCCTTGGAAATTTTCAAGTAGAGCTTTACATAATGAACTGAACTTTTCAGAGGCTAAGACATTGGAGAGTACACGCTGACACTTCTCAGTTGCACCACGACCATCTGACCCATTAGAAAATTCATTATGCATAAAATTTGCATGCCCATCAGCTTCACTCTGTAATCTAAGAGACAAACACTCAAATTGAGAAGAGCATGCTTTACCATCCTTGTCAATTTTAGAAGTTTCCTGCAGAAAAATAAGATGTACAATAAAATGGAAGGAACAAAAGTGAATTAGGACTGATCATGTGAGCAAGATATATGTAGTTTTAACTGTAGTACCAACCATCATCATAGTGGCACAATTAGTTTTAGGATGACTGATGAGCGCTTCCCTTATGCACCACTCCATGCCACCATTATCATTGCCTAATGAATGATATAAATGCTTTAGTACAACATTCCCCCAATGTCCATGAGAATAATCTTTTGAAGTATTGCCTACAGCTAAATCATACAGTTTCTTAACCGCCTGCAATCAAAAGAAATTTTCAAATATAACTTTGTAGGAAAAACCAAGAGTATTTAGTGTGCTTGATGTCATATGAAATGAGCCAAGGCAAGGATCATCACATGCTATATTGTTTAGCCTAAGTCTAGATTACAGCCAAATCTTATCTCTTCCCCTCAGTCAAATTCAAACACTAGTAACTAAAAACAAAAATAACAAATTCAAACAAAATAATGATTGGATAAAATTGAACCCCACCAGCATGACTGCTTACATGAAATAAAATAAATTATGTTAGGATCCAATTGCTAATTATGGGACTTGAGTCCAACATTAGAAGAATGAGATTATACTGTGAGGTTTGTAAGGCATTGAGCTCTCCAGCTGTAACAGCAAGCTTTTGTAATGGTTCTCCCAAGGCTCTTATCAAATTATTTATAATGTATGATTACAAAAAGGAAAATAATTTATCCCCCTCCTGAACCCATTCCTCAAGTTAGTGTTAAACATCTTAAAACAAACAATTGGAATCTTTTTCTCCTTAAAATCTTGAATGTTATATTACCATTATTTGTAAAATCATTGAGAATCACAGTATTCCATCATGAAACAAGCTAATTAGCCCCCTCCTACAACTAAAGTACAACAGAAGCTGGCTCCACTGAATAAATCCAAGGCTCCATATAAAATGCCAGCCTATTTATTCAACAGGTTGCCTAGTCACATTTTGATTGGCTCAAGTCTAATCCAATCGAACTCTACTTTTCATCCTTCTGTTTCCATCATGAACAGTCTTTAGGTTTGTGTCTTTGGTTGTATTACCTTTGTACACATTCATAGTCAATATCATGGTAAGTTGGATCCTGGTGCATTTAAGTGTATTTTCATAAAGTATACTCCAAATAAAAAGGGTTATAAATGTTATCACTCTTCGAGTCATTGGCTCTATGTTTCTATGAATGTCACCTTTAATGGAACAATCATTTTACTCCCATCCTTAGCTTCACAGGGAGAGTCATCAGGAAGCTAAGTCTATTAGTCCTCATGAGTCTTTGCGTTTCTTCCTCTTAACCTTAGTCATTTGCAGGAATTGGCTCTTACTTCCTGATTCAAGCAAAGAAGAAAGTGACTTAGAGCTAACGAAAGCAAGCACGCCTATCATGGCGTCTTAGAGGAGAGAAAAACCTGATTTGATCCCACAGCAACTTCAGTCAATCAAACCAAAAGTAAGTTCTAATACCACTGATCCTAAGTTATTAGATGTTTCTTTAAACAATTGTAACTCTAACCTAAATAACTTGACCATTGCTTTTCAAAATGAAAAACATTCTTGTGTCAGGTATTCAATTTCTCAATATCTATTAAACCACCTTAAAGGATGAAAATTAGGTTCAAACCATGAATGAAGAGATGAACATATTCGAAAGGAATGTCACTTGAGAGATTTATAACAACCCAAGGACAAAAACACAGAGAATTGCAAGCAGATCTATGCAATTAAATATTGATTAGAAGGCAGCCTTGATCGGTACAAGGTCAGATTTGTTGCAAAAGGCCTATGAAGAAACATTTGCACTAGTGGCAAAAATGAATACTATAAGAACTATTCTTTCATTAGCAGCATGATTTGGTTGGAACTTGTACCAATTTGATGTAAAAAAAAAGTCTTCCTGCATGGAGACTGAGAGGGGGGAGTGTATATGGATATTTCCCTAGGGTTTGGCACCATTGATGGTGAAAACAAGGTGTGAAAATTGAAGAAAACTCTATATCGGCTTAAGCAGTTTCCTTGTGCTTGGTTTGAGAGATTTACTCAAGCTATGGTGTCCTTAGAATACATGCAAAGTCAGAGTGATCATACCCTGTTCATAAAACACTCCCAAGATGGTAAACTAACACTTTCCAATTTATGTGGATGATATGATCATTGCAGGTGATGATAAAATTGAAAAATAGGGTTAAAGGAGAAACTAGTTGCTTAGTTTGAGACAAAGGGATCTAGGAAAACTAAAGTACTTCCTGAGAATTAAGGTGACCTACTCAAAAAATAAGGGATATTTATCTCAGAGAGAAAATATGTTCTACATCTTCTCAAGGAGACTAGAGAACTGGGATGTAAACCTACTCACTACTCCTATGAAACTTTAGTGTGACAATATAATAAGTCCATTGTCATCATAGCCCTTAATGCTGTCCAACGTGATAGGATAAACCATATAGATATGGATCAACATTTCATTAAACAAAAACTGAATAGTGGTCTCATAGCTACCACTTATGCCCCCTTTTTGAGATCAACTAATAGATATGTTCACCAAAGGACTGGCAGCCAAGCAGTTCCAAGACCTTTCATACAATCTTGGAATGATAGATATCAATTCACCAAATTGAAAGAGAAGGTTGAGAATATTTTATAATTATTACGATTTATTGTACTTATGTATTGTTATTATCTTTTGTAATTATTTGTTATTATCTTTGAGATTATTAGAAGATATTATACGATATTCTCTCATGTAAAAATTAGGGTTAGAATCGTATATAATCACGTAAATTATAATGTATTGGAATATAATAGAATTCAAACTTTTCAAGTCTAATTGATTAGAATCTTGAGAGAACCATACCACAAAAGCTAGTCATTATAGTTGAAGAATCCAAGGCCTTGTAAACTTTACACTAGAATCTCATACTTCCAATGTGAAACTCAAATCTCGTATCTTGACATTGGATCCTAACACAAACATTTGGCATATGTATTGAATTCAGATTGTGTCTGTGAGAGTAATCCTATATCCTACAAGCATTTACAAATTAAGAGCTCAACATTAACATCAGCAGCATTTGGTATATCTTCCTCTGTAACATTAGCATTAGCATTCTGCTTTATGTTTCTTCTTATGCATCACTCAGCTTAACAAATCTTCTACAAATACTCACTATTGTGGATTTAGGAATCACTATAAGAAAGAAACAAAGAAACCAAACACCGGAAACTTGATATCCTAGGTTAGAACAAATGTCTAAGGAAGCAGCTAAAAAGCCAACCACTCCACTCCATCCATCCAAATATAGCCAGAGTAAAAACAGCCATGAATAACTGATGACAGATAATATCTAATAATAATATGAAACAAAAAAAAAAAACAAATCATCTTGATATTCAAGTTTAGAAAAAGATATTGGCACCACTCAAGAAATGTTAAGATAATAAAGTCCTACATTGGTGAGTCACTAACAATTTAAAGGACATTAAGCAAGACGACCTCAAGTCTAAATTAAATTACCTAAGGCATTTTAGATAAGTAAGCCATTCGCGCTTAATCCCAGTCACTCTTTCCCACTCTTGGATCAGGCTTACATTCAAAATTCTAATATGGTATTAGAGCTATGGTAGTTAAAATTGAGATTAATTGAAAAGGAGGTCAAAGATTGTAACTCATAGGATCGAAACATGGATTGTAAGACTGTAAAATTGTATGTATAATGTATACATATAAATAGTATGAATATAAAGATGAGGGAAGCAAAACATAGACAGAGACGGGGAGATGAGAAAAGGGAGCGCCTAATAGGTAAGGGGATAGAAAAATGGTAAGACTATTCTAAAAATTGGTAAGACTATTTTTACCCTTGGAAAAATTTAAAGCAAGGTCATTTAAGTTTCCAAAAAGGGAAAGTCAGCTTATTTTTAAAAGGTAAAAAGTCTTTGTTACCTTTAAAAACCCTAAAAATTGCTTTGTGTTGAAGGTAGATAGGGAAAGTCAACATTTTTACACTAGGGGCACTACTGTGCTGCGAAAGGCCGCAAATATAGCTGTGATGCCACAGCAAAACACTCCACTACGGCAGATTTGTGGCGGCCAAAGGCAGCTCCGCCATGCACCACCACTAAAACAGGTCAGGATAAAAAATAAAAAAAAAACAAGTTAAAATGGACTTGGCAGAATCGCGCATGCCTACCGATGCTATGTTCTTGCACAGCAATCCCACACAATCCTACAAATCTCTTATCTTGCTTGCGAGCTAGCATGGCATGGTGGTTGAAGATCGTGGAATTGTGCAATTCTACGAGTTAGCATGCAATTTTGACTCCAATGATTAGAGTTCAAATCCAAAAAATAAATTAGTAAAAATTAAAATGCCCAAATTACAAAAAAAAAGGTCAAGCAAAAAGAATAATAGACTCGAAATCAAGAAAAAGTAGCACAAGTCCAGACAATTAAAAAACATTAGGTAGAAGCCCAAATTTAAAGTACAAGCCTACAACAACAACAACCAAGCCTTATCTCACTAGGTGAGGTTGGCTACATGGATCACTAGGTTAAAAAAATATTAAAAATGCAAATTACTTTGATAAGAAAAGAGATGAGAATGTGAGTGATAGGTCATTTGTTGCTTTTATAAGATCAAATTAGTTATTGGCTATGAACCTAGGCCAAGCTCTCACAATTAGGAAAAATCTTTAATTTTATTCAACTTAACTTCATCATTTTGATTAAAATAACTTTTTATTTCTAAGAAAACATTGTAAAAAACATGCAATACAAAATAAATCCGAATAATTTAAAATAAATTGTAGTAATAAAAAATCTTAATGTAATCTAAAATAAATCTTAATATCATAATAAAATCTCCATCCTAATAGAGGAAATAAATCTTAATAATAACAGATTCAAATAAATTAAAGCAGATTATAATATATCACAATCCTAATGGAATCAATATTAAATCCTAATGGAATTTACAAATAATAATGCCAAATAAAGTATGATCCAATCTTTATTTTAATTAATTATGAATATAGCTAAAATCTCCTTCCATAGCTTCATTTTTAGCTCAAATTTCCTGAACTTGGATTAAAGCTTCCTTTGACCTTTTAACTTGTGCTCTCGTAATGAACCCACTTGGAATTTGAAATTAATCTCTTGAAGAATTCAAATTAAGTTGTATCAATCCTTGATCACTAGTTGTTATTGGATTCATATCAATATCTCTCCACAGTCAACATGTTTTCCTTCATATGACTAAAACAGTTATAAATAATTGCAAAGTGCAACTCAATCCATATAAAACAAACATACCCTTTAATCTCAGCACTTTTGTAAATTATTCCATCACTACAAGGTATAGGCAAATGTGCATCTTACAAGCTGACTGGCCTCTTTCCTAAGCTTCATGTGTTCCTATACAAACCTAAAAATCTAGCAGCTAGAAAACAATTCTACAAAATGTCATACATAGCATGTGAAATCTCTTGTGCAAAGTAACAAGAAGCAATAGAGAACCACCACAGGCACACATGTCATAAAAGCAGTAGAGAAAACCTGGTCAGACAAATGGCTTTCAGCTTCCACATATTCTCTACTGTCTTTCTGGATTTTGTTTTCTGAACTTGACTTCACACGCTTGCGCCTCTTGTAAGTTCGAAAACATTCAATTGCACTAGTGTTCTCTTCAGCAACACCAAACCCATGTACAATTGCCACTCCATTATCTACTGCTTTATTCTTCAAGCACCGTCCCTCTGCACCTTTAGCAACACCATTCCCATCAGTAATTACCATCTCATTATTTACAGCTTCATTTTTTGAGCTCCAAACTTCTCCACAGTTAGCAACACCATTCCCATCTGCAATTATCACCTCATTATTTACAGCTTCATTTTTTAAGGCCTGAAGTTCTCCACCTTCAGCAATACCATTTGGATTAGCAACTGCCACCCCAATATTTACAGCTTCATTCTTCAAGCCTTGAATTCCTTCATCTTTAGCAATATCATTCCCATCAGCAATTGTCACACCATCATTTATAACTTTGTTCTTTGAGACCCAAACAGCAACACCATTCCCATCAGCAATCACCACCCCTTTGTTTATAACTTCATTCTTCAAGACCCAAACTTCTTCACCTTCAACACCACCACTTCCACTTTCAATTGCCACCCCATTATTCACAGCTTCAAAGTCCAAACTCCGATCTGGTCTGTCCTGACCAGCATTGCTAGTCCCATCCTCAGTTCCCATCAAAAGAAAACCTCACTTTCCAAAGACACAAAATTAGGGTTTCGCTGCAAACAGATCCAAAATTTCTGAGACTTGTCGTTCACCAACTTCACAAAGCAAAAACGCTGAAAACCGAAAACACCAAAGTTATTAATATACTAAATGTTAAAAATACTCCACACAGTGCCCACAAGAACCAAACAAACCAATAAAACGACTACAATTTCAACCACTAAGCTGCATTCAGTTTAGGCACAAATAAATACATAAATAAATAAAACTCAAATGAACCAACATGAACAAAGCAACAAGACGCTTTAGTGCCAAAAAAATGTGCTACATACACTTAAAAACTAAGCATCGTAAAGCCTTATTATCATTGATTTTTCTTTTTCTGACAATAGAAGATGTTAGTTACTGAGAAAACGAAATAGAAATAGCGAAAGTAAATGGAAGAAGAAGAAGAACGGCTTACAGTTGCTGAGATTCGAGGAAGTGGCATAAGTAATGGGAATTGAAAAGAATCTGGGATTGTGATGAAGTTGTTGGCAACTTGCAGCAGTAGCAGAAGAAGCTTCAATCTATCTTCTCTCTCTTGACTCTTGGAGTTTTATTTTATTTTTTTATTTTTATTTTTGGAAATGAAACGTTTTGAAATACAACTGACCCTCTTTCGCGTCATTTGTTTTCTTCTTTTTTTCGTTTTTTCTTTTTTTTAATGTTGAGTACGGGTTTGGGTTTGTGCTCAAATAGGCATATTATTATTTTTATGTATAGTATTTATAAATAATGTACATTGAAATACGGTATTTTTAAAAAATTATGAAAATAAAGTTTAAAAATTATCAATAACAATATACAAAATATAAAAATCATAAATGGTAATTTTTTTAAAATTATTAAAAAAATTTAAAAATCAAAATTCATCTATAGTAATTTTTAAAATAATAATAAAATATTTAAAAAAACCAAAAATCATCATTAATAATTTTAATTTTTTTTATAATTTTACTAAAAAAAGCATTAATTTCTTCTTTTTTTCATAAAAATAAGAGTCGAAATACATCCGTGAAAAACTTTATTTGACTGGTAAACCAAAAGACGTAAAAAGAAATAAATAGTAAAATAATAAAAATATATTATTTTGATTGATAAAAATAAAAAATAGAAATGATTAATTTTCTCTTCTTATTTAAATGCAAAAAAAAATTAAATGAAAAAACGTATTTACCTTTGCATCATAAGAGGCATTATTTATTTATTTATTATTATTTTGTTTATTTAAAACCCATATTTATTTATTTAATCATAATATATTCTTTAAAAAATAAAAACACAATTTAATATATTTTTTATGTTTTTTATTTTAGAAATATTATTACATTAAGTTATATAAAAAATACAAACAGATTTATTATAATATTTTCTATATTATTTTATTCATAAAATATATAGTGTTTTATATGTTATTTAGAAAAGTGTTATGTTCAAAAGAATAGGTGACATTCAATGTCTTAGAAAAAAAAACAGTAATAAGAAAAACAAATTTCTTAGGAAAAAAACATTGATAAGAAAAAAAATTATTTAAAAATTAAAGAATTAGATTAACAAGAAAGCAAATATTTGCCCTTATGATACTGACAAGATTAACAAAAAAATTAATTTTTTTAATTAAATATTATTAATGCATCTCTTCTTACTATTTTTAATGTATCCTATTTATAACAACGGATTTTTTAACATGTGCAACCTTCCACAAGATAAACCTCAATAAATACACTACTTAACTAATAAAATGAGAATAAAAAATAATTTTTTAAGAAAATCATAATAAAATAATTAATACAGATTAGTTAAATTATAAATTTATTAAAATTTATCCTGTACAACTTTGCACAAGTTAGAAAACTCCTTATAATAAAAACTTTCGAGTTTCAATAAGCACTGATTAGTAAAATGTTAACACAAATTGTTAAATTAGAAATATCTATACTACGAGCATTCATCTTCGATCCTAGCAACGGATATGGGTAACTTAAAGCAAATGTCTAGAAAACCTGTTTATAATTTCTAAATAAGATGGGAGTCCATTTGGAGTATTGATTACACTTTTGTAAACCTACTTAGAAAATTAATCCTGATGCTAAACCCTTTCAAAAAACCACTTTTAGGTATCAGTCTGTCCTTTCTAAACCTTTTTGTAAGCCACTTTGGCATACCCCAATCTAGTACTTTGAGATAGATACATGTCTTGGAATTACCAATAGAGCGTTACCACAAGGCTCCAACACTCTTAATTGGAAACAAATTTTAGCATTTGAAAGTAGTTTCTAGTATCTCAAGGTATGTAGGAAACCTACTTATTCCCTGCCAACTGTATGCTAATATCCTTTCTTTAGGTTATGGGTCAATTTTACGATGAGTGAAATCCGATGGAAAGTGAATTAGAAGGAAATAAAAAGAGATATTAAAGAAAATGGTATAGAATAAATTCCATCAAATTCAACTTTATTATATTCAATTTTAATCGATTCAACGAAATTTAATATGACTTCATTCTGTTCTTCTTTAGTTCATTTTTAATTACCATAATGACATTTAGATGTGAAATCCCAAACTACTTAACTAAAATATTGCTGTCATACCTTAGTCCGTTGTGCCAAAACTCGGTAATACTTGAGAGTTCACCTGAATTTAGAATCGATAATATTATTACAACAGACGAATCTTTCTTACATATAAACAAATTTCCGGATTTCGGTCCAGTGTACACTATAACTTAAATTTACATAACACGAGAATCAAGTAGATGAAATTATCATCTCACTAAACACCTTTAGTAAATGCTTTAGAGATTGATTATAAGACAAAGAAAACTAAAAAATAATGTGTTTACGAGGAAACCTGTTAGTAGCGATTTAACATTGTAATGAAGTATAGAACCGGATTTTGAACAAAATGCATGGGGTTAGTTTTAGCCACATTTCTGGCGCTCAATGAGATTTCAGGTATACTTGCCAGTTGCATGTGCCAATATATGGTGTTAGTTACTGACACAATTTAGCAAATTCAGAGTCGCTTCTCACTTCTTAATATCTTCCAACTCGAATAGGGACCCTCACCTACATCATTTAGGGAATTCGTCCATCCCATTGCAGTTGCAATTTCTTCTAGTTCACTAACAACATTAACGGTGTCACGTATATACACTCGCCCACCTGGTCTTAGCATCCGATCCATCTCAAGCATAATTGCTGAGATATTACACTTTTGCCTGAGACATAAATAATTTATAAAAAAACTAATAGTGGTAGGAATCGATAAAGAAATATAGAGTGATGACACACCTCTTTTTTTCAACAGAGAAGAGACCCGCTGCATGCAGCAGATCATATGTTCTTGGGTATGTATCAAATGGCTCGCACCTGTCAGAATTTCAAGCATAAGGATAAATTCCCTTCTTATTTTCAAAAGTAAGAAAATAAAAAGAAATAGATGAAATATTTGGCATCCAATTTCAGAAGGAGAATAAATAAATCTACAAATTAACAGCAGTGGAATTGAAGAACTCAGACATCTTGAATAAATGCCCCCCACTGGAACAGTCAGACAGGGTTACTCGTGTGGGGGTCAAAATAACTCCAGCTAAATAGGTTGTTCTACAGCAGAATGGGAATGTTGTTCTACAGCAGAATAGGAATGTTGTCAGCGAGGGGACAAGAGCTAAGAGTACGAAAACATCAACCGGGAAGGTCAATTATCTATGGCCAAAACTATCAGACCCAACCCCAGGCCGCCAGTCCTATGTGCAGAAGACAAAGGGTGACACAAGCAAATAGGGCCACTGCATCAAGAAGCAATGGAAAAGGGGAAGATCAAGATAGAAAGGCATGCCTCTTTGGCACAATGGGCCAAACCCAACTCTTTGAGGAGGTGGTGTATCGAAGGAAAAATAAATGTCTTGGGACTCATGATGAGCTGGTTCACAAATTTCATATTGTCGCTGACAGTGTGTTGCAGGTCATGTGGATTCTCTGCAAGATAATTTTGCAGAGACTAGAACCTGGTCTTGTTGAAGCTTTTGGGAGGAGTTGGCAGCAGGAGGGTCTAAAGGGATTTATAATTGACCATGGTGGAATTTATTTAGGCAGCTCCAAGAATTTGCTCAACAGTTTAGCAATTACCACTTGGGGGAACTTGGTATTTAGTAGCTACATGATATTCATCCAGAGGACAAGGTGAATGTTTAGGGGAGGAGTATTATAGGTAGGCGGTATCCCTTGGTTAGTTAGTTGAATGGGAATAATGGAAGAGATAAGGTATGTTGCCTATAAATAAGAGAGAACTAAGGGAGAAGGATATCTTGTGAATTGACAGAGAATGGTGGCCTTGGCATTGGGAGGTGCAAACCTTCGAAGCTCAGCAACAATCTAGCTTTATAATTGGGATTTATCCCTATTATCTCTAATATCTCCTTTCCTTTCTTCTATTCTATTTATACATGTAATGCTTTCACTTTTTGCAACAAACTAACTACAGATTGTAACTAACTACTAACTAGTGGATATCTATCAATACTCCATTCTTGAAGTTTCACCTTGTCCTCAAGGTGAATGGGATAGATAAAAAAAAAAAAAGAAGCACACTGGGGTCCCATTGTTTAAAGCATGTCTGAAATCCCACTCCTTTGTCACCTGAAAATAGCCTCAGCCACTCTTGGGTCAAACATACGGACCCCATCCTCCTTTAGTGTTCTGTCTGTATTCTATGATATTTATGGCCATTAAACAGAACATCAAAGACTCTAATTATACTGATCTCCATAGCTCTCCGGTGAACTGCATTACTGCACATGGTTGTAGCTAATGATTATCATGATCCTCCACCTTATTTTGCTTCTGTGGTGGGTTGAGAACTTGAGATTGTACTACCAATACCCTAAACCTCCATTATGACCACTAGATCAATCCTTGGTTCTCCCTTCATGCTAAACATGGGTCTTCCCTCGATTTTCCTCACCCCGTTACAACCCAAAGACAGACCTGTCCCTGTGCCTCTCTATCACTGTGATTCTTGATCCCAAGAACTTCATTTTCACTTCTATTTTCTGATTCTTCATCCAGAATGTTGTGAGTTGGTTTTCTTGGGCTTCTCCCAATTTTGTAGCTTTTTTTATCTGTTTCTTGCTCTTGAGCTGCTAAGTCTATTCTCTCCAAACCTTCAACTTTTTTTCTATTTTCTAGCTCCCAAGATTCTATTTCCTCATTGCAATTATGATTCTTGATCTTTAACCCTTCATCTTCTTGCTCCTCATCTTAGACCCAAATTGGTAGATTCAGACTAGATCAAACTCTGGCTGAAACTCCTTGAGCAAAGCCTTCACAAAGTCTCACTATGAAGCACTTGGACGATCCTCTTTCCACACAAACCAACAAACTAAAGCACATCCTTACAGACCTGTCCAACTTTTGTCTTCTCTTCCTCAAGGATTGCAGGCTTCAAAGTGCTGCTCCACATTAATACCCTCTACTAATTGTAACAAATTGACTAACTACAGATTGTAACTAGCTAATGGATATCTATCATTTTCCTACACCAGAAATCAATAATGCTCTCTGAATTTTACATCCCAATCAGCTTAAATATTTATGCTGTTACAATGACAACTGAATTCTGAAGGAAAATACCATTCACATCAAATCAGATTAGAAACAGCTGGAGAAGTATACAGGCAAATTTCTCTTACCAATCATGCATAACTCCTATCAGCCCGCGGTCATATATAACAGGCAAGGTATTGAATCCACTGACAGGAACAACACTTATTACCCAACAGTCAATCTGGAGATCATTCAATGCTGCAGCAAACCTGCAGTTATGGAAGTGAAAGTTACACCCTAATACACTGGATGGTCAAACAATCATTCTATAGAAATCTAATAACTGACAAATGTAATTGAAAACAGAAAAAAAAAAAAGCACGAAATAACATACTCTCATACCCTCCAAATCCTGCTCTCATGTCCATTACATTTCTCAGGTTGTACTCCTGCCAACGGAAAGCCCGAGCATAACTTTCTATTATTTCATACCAATATTTTGATTCGGCTTTGTAGATTTCATCTCTGGATATAATGGCATCCAATTTGATGCTTTGGAGCCTGTCTGGTGGTTGATGAAGGCGTGAAGGCCACTTAGTAACTTTTGCTCCATATCCATTACTAGGTAATTGAGTAATGCATGCCTTGAGACCAACATACCTGCAAAATGTTTTCTTGTTATCACAAGTTCTGATATTTGTTTACTTAACATAATTCTAATCATAAAGCTTTATCAAGTTAATCACTCAAGATGTTCCAAAGCGTCAAATTTTGTGCAGTATGTCTACAAGTTGATTATTGATTCTTCAAGTTGGTTCTTGCTCTTCCAGTGTATAATTCTTTCTAGCCAGTGTCATCTCTATGCAATTTTGTTAAATATTAAATTAAGCAGGCTTTTTTTCCTTTTCTTTTTAAGGCAAGAATGTTAGCCTGGTATAAAAATGAAAGACAAATTAGGAAGGAGTAAAAAGAATGCATTGGTGATAAAATCCAGGCATCCATCAGCAATACATAAAATTCCAATTAACAAGCCAAATTATAATATCATGAATCCATATACAAGGCCAAAACTGCAACAATTTCCTCACTAAAACTTTCAGCAAATTTTCTTGGGATGACAATCAATCTTTAACATCTTTGACTCTAATTAGCCATTGCATTCTAGTTCAAGCAATCGTGAAGACCAGAAATGAAAGATACATAACAGCTGAATTAAACAATATATAGTGGGTCATACCAAACATCATCTGGATCATCATTGGAGTCGCATAATGGAGGATGTACAGCAATGTCACGAGACTCACGACTCAGGTAGCAGCTATTGTTCTTAGGTTTCTTCCATATAGCAATATAACCCTCCTTCCGTACAAGTTCCCAACAAAGGCGAGCTGTCAGGTTCTCCATTTCTGTTAAGTAACAAGTATAGAGGTCAAGGTGTTTAGAGTTAAATATATCAATATTTGAAGATCTAGGCCATTTGATACCACATATGGTGTTGACTGTTGAGTATTATCAGAGAAAAAGAATGAAAGGAGGAAATAGTACACCCCTAACATAGTATCAATCAAACCATTGAAAGATGTATAACTGTTTTGGAAAATACAAATATTGGCCTACCTTTCCATTGTTCTTGAAGGCTCTCTTCATGTTTGTAAACAGGCTGCGCTGCCCAGACAAAGTAGCCACCTGCCCTCAGAAGCCTGTTGGCCTCAAGAAGCAAAATTCCATCTTCATTAAAGACATGAAATCACAATATCAGTACAAAGAAGTAAAGCCTTTGAGCATAGTTGTGATTGTACTTTTATCTACCGTTTCTTAAATTCATTTGAGTTAAAATATGAAGAAATCTAGAGAAAGTTTGAAACTTGAAAGAACAATATTTTCATCTCATATATTACAAAAATTCATAGTGCTAGACAACCATCAAATACTCTAAATTAGTTTTCCTTCAGAGAAAGGAGAGCACAACCAGAGCATGACTTTTACCTTTCATTGCTGCTGTAGCACCTTTCAATTTTTGTTTCTTTACTTTATATATTTAACCCAGTATATTTTTTACACTATGACCAGTCCATCCCATAGGTAGCTCAATTACTTATGTAAATTGCTATAATCAATTGCCGATTAAAAAATAAAAAAGAAAGTTGTCTTAGTCACAATGTACTACATGTTTTAACATAAAGTTTTAAAAACTACAGAAAAGCTAGGGGACAAAGGCTATCCTCATCCCATAGATCCATCTCTCTAAACAATTCAATAATAATTACCTCTAAGATGCTTGAAATGGGGGATGAAAGGTTTAAACAGAGAGGAAGGAAGTACCATCACGAGTCCAATTAATTCTGCATCTTGAACAGTGGATCAGGTCAAATGCCTGGCTTGGGAACAACAAACGATGTGTAGCAAATACTGCTACCATGGCAGGCACACCACGCTCAAGAGCAAACTGAATCTGATTTTCATGAACATCTTTTGGTGCTATTGAAAGAGTGGTCACATTACGTTGCATCAAAAATGCACCAAAACTTGCCACTCCACAGCCAATGTCTAATGCAACTCTGGTGTTGTAACCAAATGCAATGTCAGGAACCATCTGCGCATTCAATTTCAAAGCTTGTCTTAGAATCTTGCAACAGAGATCAGAATGAAATTAAATAAGAGACTAACCTCTAAAATCTGATCCAGATATTTATCTGCACCGTGTATAAATTGTGTTCCACCACCGGGAAAAACAAATTTATCCTTCTTTATTGAAATCCAATTTTGGCCACCTTTATCCTCAACCAGACGTGTATGGGGTACATTACTGAACCAAACCTGTAATTGCGTAAGTTAGCAAACCCTCTCTTCCGAATCTGAACCAATTGATGAGTGTCAAATGACACAAAATTTAAATTTCCATCATGAGTTTGTTAGAACCAAAATTCAGCAAACTGACCACGAAATCAGATTCCACATCCACCATCTAATTAAGATATGACTCAATGCTTAAGAATCCAGATGAAATTTTCTTTTTCCTAGATTATCTTAACAAGAAAGTTCAAATTATAAAAAAAGAAAAAAAAACAAAACAAAAATCCAGCATCTGTCAACTGTTAAATTCTATCACCTGTCACCAGTTTCTCAGAGTTGCTGGTCATCCTCAGATCATTTAGCCTCTCATAGAACATAAAGTAATTGCTATTAAGTAAACATTTCAACAAGTCGTGCATTTTTCCATTAAATGAAGGGCCTTCTAACAAGTTCCTAAAGGCACTAGTCAAGGAATCAATCAATAATTGACCGCTTTTATTAAAAATCACAGTAGGGGTGCATCGATAACACTTCTCCTTAACCCGTGCCCTTAACTATTATCATTTTCCTCGAATAAAACACGTCTAGAATGTGTTGACGAGTTCTGCTTGGCCAATGATGGCCATTCATGTCAAGCTTGCCAATGACAAAACCGTTTCACTTTTCACCGCAGAGCACCCCAAAATTACCAGGGACAAAACTTATGTGCTGTTTTCTCATTACTGTTTACCAATCAAAATTTGAGTTTGATTTTAATAAAATATTTATATTTAATGTTACATCAGATAGAACTCAAATTTTAATCGACAAACAAACTGCACCTTAAGTTTTGTCCAATTACCAGTCAGGCAGTCACCAACACTACGAGTATAGTGTCCATTTCATCATCTATACAAATAAATAAATAAAACCTTCCACAATGAAACATTCTTACAACACGTGCAGAGCAGAAACAATGAAACGACAAAACTTACAGAGTCCGAATCCGAAAAGTACCTCGTCTCTGCTCTTGGGCCAAAGAATGGGCCTCCGATACCCTTGCGGTGGAGGCACCAAACAATTCAAACCCTTCCCTTCTTCTGGACAATGCCTCTCGTACTTCTCCCCTCTGTCACTCCCATTCAACTTCTCAATTGCTTCCACATTATCCAAACACGGTACATAATCCACCATTCTCACATCACACACCTTAAACTTCTTCATCTTCACCCTCACACCACCCTCCTCCTTCTCCCCTCGCCAATCATCGCTGCTCCCATTCAACGAACCCTCGACGAAATTGGGATCCAAATCCCCGATTCTGAAATCCTCCGTCATCCCGCCGTTTCCGTCCAACACGCCCATCCGCTCAACCGGCGGTAACGGAGGTAGACGGAAAACTTTTACTCTCGGCGCCGGAGGAGGAGGTGGTGGTTGCTCCGGCGAGGGTGCGGCGGCGTTAGAGGAGAAGAAGGTGAGGGAAGAGTAAGTGGTGGGAGAGAAACGGGTGAAGAGGAAGAGGAAGAGGGTGAGGGAGAAGAGTGCGAGGGCGGTGATTTTAACAAATGAAGACGTTTTGAGAATGTCTATGGATTGCATTTTGAGGAATGAGTTTGATTGAGGGAGAAAGTGTGGAAGAGAAAACCTTGGATCTCACCGTGAAACGTTAACGAGTTTGATGAATGGAGGATATTGTGTTTGTGTTTGTGTTGGGTGTAGAAACAAAACAGTGACAACTAGCATGAAAGTGAGGTTTTAGAAAGCAAATTGTTGTTTCATCTGAGATTTCTAGCGAGTGAGTTGGTGACTGAGAACAGTAAATTGTTACAGTATTGGTTTGTTTGCAATCGTTGTGATCATTATTTAATAATTAAGAACATCCTATGCTTTTTCGTGTTTGTTTGCATAATTTTCGAAAAGGAAAAATAAAAGTAAAATTAATGTTTGTAAATGATTTAACATAATACAACTAATTAATTTCGCTCGCCGACAAAAAATAACAAATTATTTTTAAAATTATAAGTAACGATTCTAAAGAATTACTTCTATTCCTTTATAGAGAAAAAAATTTATTCAATTAATTTTAAATGAATTAATTTATCTTTTATTAATAGGTCTCTTTTTTACTCTTAAATTACTTAAATACTATCTAAATAATATATGAATAAAGATATTAATAAATAAATTATTTTAAATTTTTACATAAATAAAAAATTTAAAATAATTAAATGATAATATAACTGTAGTCTAAAAAAATGATAATATTAAATATTAGTAAATAATAGTTATTTTAATTTGTATAAAATTTAAATAATTGATGTTTTACATTAAAATAGTTACATTTAATAATTTTATATTAAAATAATATTTAATTATTTAAGGTTTAATTAACTTTTTTAAAATTTTAAAATATTTTTATATATTATTTAATAAATTAAACATTTTTTTATGTTACGTCGGTTGGGCGTGCCAGTGTGGATGTGGGTCCCATTTTGACTGCTTTAAATTTGGCGTTGTGTAGTGTCTGTGTTCCAATAATGCACGCAACTTACACGCTACGCTGAACGGCTCCTATTTATTCTTCATTATTCAATCACATTTATTTAATCATTTTTCTATCTAAAGAATTATTTTACAAATTTCATTATAATGTTTATAAATTACTTTGACAATATATAGTAAAAATTTTATTAAAATAATTTATAAAAATTATAAGCATTTTTATAAACTCTACAAAACATATATTAAAGAAAAGTTTTGCCTTATCCTTTTATATATCATCTTTATATTATTTTACTTCTTCTATTTCTTTCTATAAATGACCTTCTAAAAAGTTTTAGTAACTTTTTTATAAGATGTTCTATATTTTTTTTTATTTTCCTTTAATAAATAGAGCCAATAATAGGATAAAATTATCCTGTTATGATAATTTTTAAAATAATTTTTTAACTTGTACTTTTAAGCCCAAAATAAAAAAAGTAAATATAATAATTTTTTATAAAAATGTAATAATACATTAAATTTTATGATAATTTATAATTTTTATAAAAAAATTTATATATATTTTTATTGTATGACTTTAAGCACTCATTAGAAAAATAAGAAATAAAGAAAATCAATTGATTTTGGCTATTTTTATTAATTTATATAATTTAGTTAAATATTATTTGTAAAAGAATAACTAGAGAAAGTATATAATAAGTATTAATGAAAATGTGTATGTATTTATTGTTTTAAAAATAAGAAAACTATTTAATAATTACTCCTAATTATTAAATAAACAAATTATTAATTTTTTAAATATTTTTAAGACAATAAATATGAGCACATTTTCATTTAATATTTTATAATACACTTATTTTAATATTTTTTTACAATATTTTTAATATAAAAAGAAATGAAATGAAGGAATAATTCTAAATTAATTCAAACTTATTTAAGTAACTCTTTAAATTAGTAAAGATGTGTTTGTTGACCTTGCTAGGATTAGGAGTGTAAATCAAATTGTTTTAACCTTAATTTTTAAACTTGAAACTCTTACAAATATTGGTAAATTTAGAATAATATCTCTTTATAATGTTATGTACAAGATGATTTTGGTCAATAGACTAAACAATTTTTTAAAAATTAATATAATTTTAATTTGAGTAAACAAAATATTGATAATATTATTATCTCTAAGAAATTGTACATTTCTTTAAAAAAATGAAGATTGTAAAAGTTGTATGAATATACAAGTAGACCTTGAAAAAGGTTATGATAGGATTAATTAAAATTTTGCAAAAGATACATTTAAAAATGCTAGATTTAGGCAGTAATATGCTAATTAAGTCTAGCAATACTTATCTACTTGCGTTGTGTGTATTAATTATAATGAATAATATCTTGATCGTTTTTTACCTTTTAGGGGCGTTCGACAGGGAATCCCTTATCTCCCATGTATATGTCTTATGTATGGAGAGGAAAGGCATAAAATATGTTTTTCAAATTCTTATTTCTATGATAAATGTAGTTTAACTATTGAATTTATAACTTGTGTTGTAAGAAATTGTAACTTGGCTAAAGAGTTTTGGTCTTTATTGATTCATCATGATTGGTGGAGTTCTCTCTTTAGTGTGTGACTTAGTAAATGGCTTGAATCAAATATGTATAAGAGTTGGATGAATGGCATTAATTGTTGTAATATTTTGTTTGGAGTTGTCATTTGAATGCTTTGAAATAATATAAATTCGTGAACTTTTAATAGAATAGCTGAAAAGAACAATACCTTTAGCTGCTAATGTTGATAATCATGTGAACTACATTATTTTTAATTTTTCCTCCTTTGATAATTCACTATTTAGATCTATTTTGCTCATATTACGATATCATGGAGCCTTCCATTGAGCAACAGATTTAAGGTGAATGTAGATGGGTTCGTTTGCTTGCAGAAGAGGAAAGTGGTTTGTCGGGGAATAAGTCTCGATGTTAAATTAAATATTAATTTCTGTTTTGTAGAATAATGAGTATACACAATAAAAAATTAAATATTAATTTCTACCTCTAAATTTTTTCTGGTAGTTAAAGAAAAGAATCTAACACTAAAATTGACAATACTAAACTAACTAGGAGTAGTTGTATGCAAATGTCAAAAATATTAACTAAATCTTGCGGCAATTATTTAATGATGGTTTTAAATCGCTACTAGATTTTGAAATTAAAATGTCAGAAACTGAACATGCAAGAGAGCATTGCCTGTTCAGGAAATATGAGGTCAGAAGACTCCCTCAATATAATGTTTGTGGGTAGCAGTTAAATCATCTGTTTCTTACTATCCAAGCTCAATGGAAGTGGCGAATTCAATGTCAACATGAGACTTGTCTTCTACAACAAGTGACATTTTCAAAATCTAAGATGAGGATCTTCATGTTAAGACAATAGTCGTATAATGTTATTTTGGCCTTACTAATGGCTCTAGCCATTACTCTATCAATAACATCTTTTGGAAGTGCAGAACTAAACTTTTTACAAGGTATAATTGTTGGGAAAATAAATTAATTAATTAAATAATATGATTCATATGAAATATTATTATGGGCCTAAATATGATTTAATAAAATAAAAGGGCATAAGTTATTATGGAAAGTTACTTTTAAAAACTTATGGTAATCAACTTGATGGAGGTTGAACAAAAAAAATATAAGGAATTCTGTCTCTGCCAAAAAAGTCTCTCACTGTTAACTATCAAGGTGTGAAAAAGAAAGAAATAGAAGGACAAAGAGGCAGATTGAGCACACGGAATTGAAGATTTATTCTCATTGGCTTTAATAGATAAAGGTAAGTCTCTCTTGCTATTATAATGTTTGTGGGAATGATAAATTCTAAGATCCGTATGATGTACAACAAATGTTACATGTTGTATGATGTTCAGTAATAATTTTTACATGTGGTATCAGAGCCAGGTTATTGAATTTGTGATTCTCCATGAATGAATTTTCTCAAATTTATGAACCCTATCTGCCCATGCTGAGTGAATTCATGTTATGTGTTTCAATTAGAAATATTAAATTCATATAAAATCGCATGCCAAATACTTTCCCTGTGGTTGGATGTCTTCCTATCATGTCAATTTCAAATTGAAATTGGTGAGAACCATAATACGCTATTTTTTGCTATGCTCATGAATGTCAATTTCAATTTGGTGTTCGGCATTGTGAATTACAATTTTCGCTGCGACATGATTGACTCTCGCATTGTTGTTTCATGTTGAATAGAAGTATTATTGTTCATGTCTGACATTGTGTAATTGTATGCTTGTTTCATATATATATATATATATATATATTGGCCAATTGGATTTAGATGCCTATTTTTTATATATATGTATATACTCTCTTCTGAACATGGATAAAGAGAATTGCTTACGTAATGTGTAACTTTTGGGCACGATTTTCAATTTCCATCATTATATGTTTTTATAGAATTGTTCTGAAAGTAATGCAAATTGTGTATAGAAATGTGAATTGTTTTACGAATGCTTATAATTTTGGGATTAAATATGTGATAGATTTGTTAATTACCAAAGTGATCAAGTCTGAAATTTTATTTAATTCCAAATTAGTGATGAACTTTATTTCAATTACCTAAAGGATGGATGCTAAATTATAAATAATTTGTTTATGGGTTAATTGAAATCCATTATTATAAGATATTTATGAATCACCCAACGGTTGATTAGTTGTTCTTATAATTAATGGGTATAAGCGTTGGCAGTCAGTATGCATTATTAGCTTTATTTATATATCCAAAGATAATAAGTGTTTTCTAATTAATGCACAAATCTTACCAAATAATGTTAATATTACTAGCATCATTATGTTTTTGTGTATTAATGTATCACCCAAAGGAGATCATTGATATGCATAGAATAATTGTTTGTTGTTTGAATTTGTATTATATGTTTAATTTATGACTCAAAGTGTTAATGTTAGGCATGTGTTAATTGCAATATCTGTTCCTGTATCTTTACATTCGCTTGATACGTTTGTTTCGGTCTTTAATGGGTTGAATTTCTCTTATTGGAGCAAACAAGTCCAATTTCACTTAGGTGTTTTGGATCTTGATTTGGCTCTTCAAGTTGAAAAACCTACTGCTATTATGGCTACTAGTAGTAATGAAGAGAAAGCCTATTTTAAGGCTTGGAAAAGGTTGAACAAACTTAGCCTGATGTTTATGCGAATGAGGGTAGCAAGTAACATCAAATCAGCTCTTCCTAAAACTGATAATGCAAAACAATTTATGAAAAA